TAACCGTCTTGATATTGTGAAGAGAGGTGATCTTCGATTATCTCTAACAACGCTGCAACCAGATATACAAGAACCTGCTTCTTCTCATCAGCCGCAAGGATCTCACTAAACCTAAGGGACACTAATATTACTGTAATATTTTTTGTCAGGAGCATAATTATATACTGTAAATAAACAGAACATTATATAAGTAAAAATTCTATTATAAATAAAGGTTTTTGTTAATAAACCCCTTTCTTATTATCAATATTCCTTATGCTATAAACAAATAATAATTATTATAAATAAAATTACAGTTGATAAAGTATATTTTTATAATCAATATTACATTTGTTATAATTAAACAATATGAGGGGTGGGGGGCCACAGAACTGAATGAAAGTCAGAAGTGGGCCACGAGCAAAAAAGGTTGAGAACCACTGCGCTAGAGGAGCATCTCAGTCACTGGACCACCTGATGAAGGAAGCAGCTCGAGATTCAGAAAAGATACTTCTGATAGAACTGAAGACGACATAAAATGTCGAACATGACTTAACAGTTGTATCTATTATTATCATAAAACTTTAGACTGATTTCCGAGTTCGGAACCCTGCGCTTAAACTTGAGGTAGTTTCGTTTCGTAAACTGTTAAAACAATTTCTGCCAGAGATCACACCTATGTGTGACCTATGTGCGGCGACCTTTCAAGTGCATCTGTTGCAGACAGCTGAATCTAATGAGATGGAAAGGCGACATGTGACTAGCTAAAGGCTGAGAAGGAAGCGAACGCGATAGTGTCCTGGCATTTTCTTTGAGAGATTGCGGAGAGACAACTTAGGAAAACTTGTAGCCCCTAGGAATTCGAATCTGATATTTTCCTAAGACAAGTTAAATCTTTAACGCTATATGAACCTGATTGTTTCTACTAGGAATAACCAAACTATCTTGTGGTAGGAATTTCGCATGGTTGTTAAGGCCGCATTCGCTGGAACGACTGAGAGAAAAAATTGAAAATTTGTCCATACAGTTGGTACAGGTTACTGCCATTAAACATTCTGCTTGTAAGAGATTATGATACAGAATTTCCTGTAGCGTTTTGAAGTCTGCAGAATATGGGTTCGATTCTGAGATAATTGGTCCATTTCGGAAGTGAGGTTCTCATGACAGTGGCTAAGAAGTGTGCTGAGTTACGAGTTTATCGCAGTGTAGTCCGCTGAAAGTCAACCGGCATTTCGTTTGCTGCCTTCTTCATATTGGCTTCTTATTTGTTTTACTTTAAAACCCTGAATATGGGGCAATATGTTCCTCCGAAATGCCAGTTAAATTCCAACGAATTACATTGCGTCATATCCCAGAAGATGGAATTCTTCCTACGGGTCATGTTTGGATTTGGCTCTTTATCTTCACCGTCACATTGGGTGGTTTCACTCCAGCGGGCTGGAGCTACCCAAGACTTTTAATTACTTCCAACACCCTTCCCATAGTCGCAGTTTGATAAGTTCGACATGTAATTTATGTTTATGCAAGGCCCATCTGTGTCTTATAGGCCTAAGCTTATTTTACTTAGCGACCACACACACCTTATAGATGCATTTGTGTCACTGTTGCACCCATACTGGACTCTCTGTCCACGTGTTGTCCGAGCCGTCTCACTACCTTGAACATTGCAGAATAGCTTACTGTACAGCTGTCTGGTCACGTAGCTACGCTTAACGGCGCACTTACTTCCGATAATGAAGATGTTCACTTTTTCTCAAATTATATCGGACCTTTTTTTTTTTGCTCTGTCTTCTTCTTGTATCGTGTTATATAAAATGTTTCTAATGCCATGTAAATTAAATAAAAAGGCCAGCACTTCGCATTCATTCAAGAATTTCAACACCGGTATACAAATCCATTCACTGTTGCTAAGATAGTTCTATTTAAGTTGCAGCTTAACAGCACACAAAGCAGAACTACTTGACGCTGCAATTGTAATTAAAGATTGATCATTGTTATATAGTTCTTTCTTCTTGTTAAGTCGCCGCCTGCTGTTTTGAAACCTGCACCTCCATGGACGGACGAGAGGAAGCTTTCGTTTGAAACCTTCTAAGTCCCCGCGACGAGCAATCGCATTCACCACAGTTTATGCAAAGAATCGAACACTCGATAGTTATTCAAATGGACAAGAAATTACATGCTGTAGAACGGCTGTCAAGAACCCACTATTAAACAACTTAACAGACAAAATAAACGAGGTGTAATTAAGATTCACTGTTCGATAATTAAACCCTTGCTTCGGGGTCGGCCACTGATTCAGGACCTGTAGTCCCGGTACGGTGAAGCAGACTGCGTTCCTTTTGAAATCGCGATGTTCAGTCAGACAAGGAACACCGATCGCGGTAATCCATACAAACCACTGAGGTCACACGAGGTCACTGCGACTAGCGTCATGGCTCATCAGCGACGCTCGACTGTCTGTATTTAAAATTTAGCCAACTAAATTGAGACTTAATTATCATATGTCAGTCTCTAAAAGACTTACTTAGATTACGATTAGTTGTGACGCTTGCGCTGTAGCCAGCCAGTAGGAACCGACGGAAAAGCGGGCTCCCATTGGACGAGGGGGAGGGAGGGGGCGTGAGAACCAATCGCGGAATATCAACGGTAGTGGGAGTTCATGGCAAAAGATATTCCGTGATGAACGGTAAATGCGAGGTCGCAATTGTCTGTTTTCTGTGACGGACAGATTTCAGCCAGACTTGGTAGATCGATTTGTTTACACCTTCGATTTATGTAACAATGAAAGCAGACTGAATACGTTACACAGTTCTAAGCCTAACGATGAATTAGGGGATAAGTGCGAATGAATTAGAAGTACCTGAAAGGAGGAAGTTATTTCTTGAATTATGGTATTGAGGAGGGACTGTGGAAAATCAAATACCACGAGTATACAAAGCGAGATTATAACCGTTACACCGTAAAATTTCTTGCTGGCAAAGTAGATTTCATGCTCGTAACCGCGTTTACCCGATATCACCATTAACAGCATTACAATGAGCCACCATGGGTTCTCCGCTGAGGACTTCCCGTGTTTTCGCTAGCCTCTCCGTAGACGCGAACGTCCTCCGTGACGTGCAGCTACCGGATAACAAGCCTATGGCCAAGAAGCTCACAAGTGGATTAGCAGCGGCGTAGGTTGATTCCTTGGCCGGGTATGCATCAACAGCCGAGTTTACTTAGAGCCAAAAAAACACACTACAAATTCGGAAGCATGTGGCCTATCTCGGTACCCAATATTCACAGCCAAGAAGTTGAATATTCAGTTCTGCAATTGACTTGTGCTCCGAAGTTAGCTGATTCGAAGCAGTGTCGTGATTTTCTTCAGCTCTAATAGGGTAGTACCTCAGCTAAGGACACCGCCATATCCAAATCCTTTTCAATTCATTGATTACTGATCACACTAATATCCAGTGCTGTAGCCCTAGAGCCTGGGCTGGTGATAACATCGTTAAATGGGCTGAAGTCTCACCCTAAAATAAAAGGGTCATAGGGCCTATCCGTGAAGTGGGACTGATTGAGGATAAGAGATCTATGAGAAATATTGGACTATTCTTAAAAACCTAGACTCAGATATGTAGGCAGCATTGTGCATTTTACGAAACGGTTTCGTCTAACAGTCCAACACAGGTTGAATATCTACGTCAAGTTACAAGCAACGGAGACAGGTGAGATGATGGTACAGGACTACGTGGATTCGAAAGTATGGAAGAGGAAGCGATCATCACCTAATTAGCGTTGCGCATATCTGGATATAGACGGGGCGCCTTAAGAGCTATTTATTTAAATAATAACTAGCCGGAGTTTAACTGAAGGTTCTCTACTAGTGGGCCGCCACTAGTCAGAAATGCCGTATCCATTCATGTATTTATTTTATTTCGAAACCCGGTAACTATTTACAGTTCCTCTCCTATTGCTTTGCTATGGTCATTATGAGACTTGGACATTATTTACACGTTTTGTGTTGGTATCCAGGGTTGATATGAAGTGTGGGTGGTTATGTACAGTTTCTTTTGTAGTGTCAGGCCACTATTTACGTCTTTAGTGTTTAGACTTTATTTGTGGCTTGGCAACTATTTACAAGATTTTACAGTGCCCGGATAATATTTGATTCCACTATTTACAATGCTTACGCTAGTGAACATACCTGGATCCAATTTGTAATCAGTATGCTAGTGACTATATAACTATATATCTATCTATGGCTCTGCAGCCCTTTGTTGGAACTTCACCTCTTTTTCAGTTTCTTAATCATATACATATTTGGTAGGACTCCGTGGTGGGGGGGGATCAGCCCGTCGCAAGGCCGCTACATACACACAGAACAACATAAATACAGAATAAACACACACAGACAATCATGCCTTGATTGCGATACGAACCCACGATCCCAGCGTTATACTGCTCGGCCACTGCGATCGGAATGCTAGTGACTGACTACAATAAATTCAAATCAATTTATTTTTCCTCAGTATTTAATCAGAAATGGAGGACATGAATATAAGATACGAGTTTCTCACTGAGGTGGTTACGAAGTTTCCTGGCGTCTGGGAGATAAAGCCGTGGTCCATTGAAAATTAACGGACATTTTGGAAGGACACGTCGCCTCCATCTTCAGTATCAAATAATGAGCGAAGCAATATTATGCAGGTTGAAAGGTTCATGGAGGATTCTTTCTTGGTTACTCTGATCCTGAAGATGGAGGCAACATGTTCCTCCGAAATGTCAGTTGCCTTTCAAAAGACTGCACAGCGATGAACACCAGAAGGAAACAGGTAGAATGTGTGCATAATGTCAGAGTGTACAGCTCTACGTGACATACACAGACTGCGTAGCTGCGCACTCTTGGCTTGTCCGCTGCTTCCGTGCCGACATCTTCGTTAGCACGCGTCACGGAAGGCCGGGTCCGTCCGTTAAAGCGTGTTAAGATACTCAAAACACGCGAGCATTCCACTCGGCTTCTTCGTGTGCTCATGATTAAGACGTATCATGCTAAAGGCCTGGAAAATGCAGCTGTTAACAGTCCAATTCCTGGCGTGTGCTAGCAACTCTGTTATTATTGGTAAAGAAAAAGGTATTGGACAGTTTAATCTAATAGTCACAGGCCCTGCGTAAAGTATTTGTGTGCCTAAGCACCACAGCAAATTGCTGCACATACCCTTAACTTCGACACTGGGCAGAAAGGAATGGGAGAGCAACATCTATACATTCGGTGGAACTTGGCCCAACAGGAAGGTGATCTAGACATGGAGACGAAGAGAAAACTGCCTCTCTTGCCCGAAATCCAACCCAGAATACGTGGCCCGTAACCAGTCACCTTCCTCAGTTCACTCGGATCCAAAGTCCTACACAGCAGAAGTAAAAATTTCACCAGAAATGAAAACGAAATCTGCACCTACAAAAGCAGAATGTTCCTTCAGTCATGAAGTTTGTACCTGTTCCGTGTCTTGCTCCCAGACTCCCTCAGAGATGCAGGTAAGTTCAAGTTGTCCCTGTGGTTAAATAATTAAACATGAACTATGAATACATATCGGGGAGTGGAGGCATAGCTCCATCTTGACCTCGGTATTAGATTAAGTGGTTTTTATAGGAAGCTGGCTCGATCCAGAGCCGGTCTGGACGCTGTGCAGTGGAGAAGAAACTCTTGCCTCTGCCGGGAACCAAACCCCAGCCTTCCCGCCCATAGCCCGCCTCTATACCGACTGCCGATCTCTCACGGACGCTTGCACATATCAGAATGTGTCTGTCCAGGGGTTCGAATTTTGATCAGGTGTGCAACGGGACTTGTGGACCGAGTGCCTCAGTCAGCGTTTCTACTTGCAAACGTGTGGGGGGAGTCGGTACTAGTTTCTACCGCTGTGACTAGCCGCAAGGCAGGATTAATTGCGGTTAGCTTCATATTCCGGATTGTTTAAACAACTTGAAACTGAAGGAAAATAATTGTTACCTCAGAAGCAGGACAGGCTGTCACCGATACTCGCCTACATTTTTGCTCCTTATAGAAAAATAAACAGGATCTACCGCTGTATGTTTTTAGTGAAAGGGGCACCTTCCGGGCCCATAATTAAAGCCTAAAATCTTCAATTTGCATACATTGAACTGTAAACAGATTGGTAAAGTGCACTGTAGTAAATAGACGTACACGTTTTCACCAAATACCCCTCAATTTTGCTAAATTACATGGCCCTACCTCCTTAGGTTGGCTATTAACTTAGTTCAGACAATAACCTATTAAACTACTGTACATGCAGGGAGCCGGGATAGCGTAGACGATATAGCGATTCGCTACGGGCTCAGCGACCGAGGGGTCGCAGTTCAAGTCCCTGTAGGGTCAAGAATTTTCTCTTCTCCACGTCGTCCAGACCGAATCTGGGTTCCACCCAACCTCCAATCCAATGGGTACTGAGGGCTCTCTCCCCGAGGGTAAAGCGGTTCGGGTGTGAAGCTGACCGCTCACCTCCAACTAGTGACGAGGGCAAGAAAATGTGGATCTATACATCCACTCCTCCATACGCCTTCAAGACCTAGTGCTTAATTAGTTAATCACAGGGACAAATTTACCTTTTCTATTGTACACGCAAGTCTAATATTAACATATTTTTTCCCTTGGCACTACAGCCCCAGTGGACCTAGGCCTACCTCCATGAACTTCTCCGTTCACTTCGGTTTTTCTATATCTTACACATTCGGTAGGACTCCTTGGGCGGGTGATCAGCTTGTCGCAAGGCCTCTACCGGTTTCCAAGCGAGCGAAGACAGTACATGCCTTAGACCGCTCGGCTACCGTGACCGGCTTAACACATCTTATCAAACTAAAATATCTGCATTACGTAGAATCAGAAGTTACCTTTCCTTCGAAGGATATTTCGTCAGATACAAAATCAATTTGCGTCAAAACGTGTGCAAATGGCTTTTTTAATTTTAATTACCTATATAATCTCTATTCTCTACAAATGTTTGTACGGTGAACAATTTCTTAAGAAACACGATGAGTTCGATTTGAGCCTCTTGAAAAGTCGGGGATATAGGGCGTACCGAACCGGAATGCAACAAAATTAAGTTTCCCCGACAGCTGATCCCAACAGTCCAATCGAAATCAGATAAGCAGTTTCGCTGCCGACAAATGTTGACGCCTGGAGCCTATAGTGAGGCTGTGGAGGCTAGGCTTATCGTGTCATGCCATTCTTTCTTGGAAGTCGTGAATTGGACGAAGAATCTGTATTCTGAGATATCGCCGTGTAGTTCGTTGGAAATCAGTCAGTGTTAAGGAGAAATACTTTGCCTCCATCTTCAGGGGTAAAGAGCAAATCAAGTAGAA